CCCAATCAAGCTTCATCATCAATCAATCAATCAATCAATCAATGTTTATTTATATAGCCCAATATCACAAATGTTACATTTGTCTCAGTGGACTTTACAGTTTGTACAAAATATCAGTATGACAATACGACACCCTCTGTCCTTAGACCCTCACATCGTACAAGGAAAAACTTCCGAAGAAAACCCACAGTTTAAAGGGAAAAATGGGAGAAACCTCAGGGAGAGCAACAGAGGAGGGATCCCTCTCCCAGGACGGACAGACGTGCAATAGATGCCGTGTGTAAATTGAAAAGATAATACATTTGCAACATAGGTAGTCCAAATGTTTGGAAATGCATGTGTGTATAATAGGAAGATCATGGACTCCTACTACTGAACCCAATCAAGCTTCATCATGGACTCCTACTACTGAACCCAATAAAGATTCATCATGGACTCCTACTACTGAACCCAATAAAGCTTCATCATGGACTCCTACTACTGAACCCAATAAAGCTGCATCATGGACTCCTACTACTGAACCCAATCAAGCTTCATCATGGACTCCTACTACTGAACCCAATCAAGCTTCATCATGGACTCCTACTACTGAACCCAATAAAGCTTCATCATGGACTCCTACTGAACCCAATCAAGCTTCATCATGGACTCCTACTACTGAACCCAATAAAGCTTCATCATGGACTCCTACTGAACCCAATAAAGCTTCATCATGGACTCCTACTGCTGAACCCAATAAAGCTTCATCATGGACTCCTACTACTGAACCCAATCAAGCTGCATCATGGACTCCTACTACTGAACCCAATCAAGCTTCATCATGGACTCCTACTACTGAACCCAATCAAGCTTCATCATGGACTCCTACTGAACCCAATAAAGCTTCATCATGTACTCCTACTACTGAACCCAATAAAGCTTCATCATGGACTCCTACTGAACCCAATAGAGCTTATTCATCATGGACTCCTACTGAACCCAATAAAGCTTATTCATCATGGACTCCTACTACTGAACCCAATAAAGCTTATTCATCATGGACTCCTACTACTGAACCCAATAAAGCTTCATCATGGACTCCTACTACTGAACCCAATAAAGCTTATTCATCATGGACTCCTACTGAACCCAATAAAGCTTATTCATCATGGACTCCTACTACTGATAACAATAAAGATAATTCAATCCACTGCTGTGTCCTCCATACTTCCTCTGGTATAAATCAATAACAATCATTGAGATGTCCTTAGAGACAGAGCATGGACCCGAATTCCAGCAGTTTAAGGTCCAGAACAATACACACATTACTGCTAAGAGAAACCTAAACTAACGGATCAAAACTATTTAAATAAAAAAAGATAATAATAAATAATATTAATAATAATACTGTTGGGGAATAATTTGCTTAGGTATTCAACCTTTGACACAGTTCATCATTTTCTCTTCTCACCATCTCCTTTCCCACGGCATAGGTCTATGGCAGGGGTGGGCAAACTTTTAGGCTCGGGGGCCACTATGAGTTTTAAAATTTGACAGGCGGGCCGGGCCAGTAGCAGATGGATGGAGAGTGTTTGTGTGAACAAATACAAATTACAAGTAAAAGCCATTACCTGAAAAAGTTAAGAAAACTTACATTTCATTTCAGTGGGAACAGTGTTGTTGGTCACCCTTTTTTGCCAGTGCATCAAAGTTTGGTGTCAGTTTGGTTGTGGCAATTCTCAGGACATATCTGAGGTGTTCATCAGTTAACTGGGATCTGTGGCGTGATTTGTTGATGTTCATCACGCTGAACGTCTGCTCACACATGTAGGTAGAGCCAAACAACACCAGCATCCTCTGTGCCATCCTCCTAATGTTTGGAAACTTGGCTTCGCTTAGTGAAGCATAAAACTCCTCCAGTTTGAGGGAGTTGAACTTCTCCTTTAAGACGGAGTCACATTGAAGATCAATCAGTTCCAATTGCAACTCCTGCGGCGCTGTTTCACAGTCTTGTGACAGGGGACATGAAACCAGCTGAAGTGACTTTTCGATTTTTTTAAATCAGAAAAGCGACGGCAGAATTCTCCGTGCAGGTCATCCAGCGATTTGCTGTATTCCTTCACACGTCGAGGGGCCTCTTTCAGTGTCGCTAGTGTGGTGAAATGAGCGAATGATTTGTTTGACATTTGTCTTGAGAATAAAGTCAACTTGGCTTTGAAGGCTCTCACATTTGTGTACATTTCGTGCACAAATTGATCTTTCCCTTGTAGCTTCGTGTTCAGCTCATTCATGTGTGTCAGTATGTCCACAGCAAAAGCAAAATCACAAAGCCAATCTGCGTCGCTTAGCTCTGGAAAATCGTCAGCTTTCCCGATTAACTCCAAAAATGAGCTAATCTCCCCTTTAAACTCCCACACTCGTCGACATACTTTCCCCAAACTTAACCAGCGGACATGAGAATGATAAAGCAAGTCCTGGTGATCAGCATCCGTTTCCTCAAGGAACTTAATAAATTGACGATGCTGAAGTTCCCTCGCTCGTATACAGTTAACGAGTTTTATGACTGGCTCTACAACATGATCAAGTTGCAATACAGATTTACACAGGGCTTCCTGATGGATTATGCAGTGCAGGAAAATTACATCCAGCTCAGGATTTTCCTCTTTCACCTTATCCTGGATTCTTTTCAGCAGCCCGACTTTTTTTCCTGTTAAGTTTGGCGATCCATCTGTGGTGACATTGGCAAGTTTACTCCAAGGTAGCTTCAGCCTCTCGATGACACCAGACACACTGCCATACAAGTACTCTCCTCGTGTTGTCCCCTTTAGAGATTCCATGGTCAAAAACTCCTCCGTTATCTCAAAATTGTCATTAATCCCTCTGATAAAAATTAAGAGCTGAGCGGTGTCTTTTACGTCGGTACTTTCGTCCAGTGCTAACAAATATAACTTAAATGACTCAGCTGTTTTGTTTAACTCGCTGGACAAATCTTCGTCAATTAGTTCTACACGGTGAGTCACTGTCCTGCGTGATAAAGTCGTTTTTGCTCACTGGACACAAGAGACCTGCTGTCTCTACCATGCATTCTTTCAAAAACTCCCCTTCGGAGAAAGGTTTGCTGGCCTTTGCTAATTTGAATGCTAGCAAATAACTTGCCTTGGTGCTTGACTTTTGAATAGAAGTTTGTTGGAGAAAAATATTTAATATTTTAAATTGGCTGCCAACCCGTAGCCGCCCGTTCTTGCGTTGACTGTTTGCTAGCATAGTTAGCATGCTTGTTGGAAAAGTGGCGGCTGATATTGTATTCCTTGAATACCGCGACGGTTTATTGGCAAATAAGACATACAGCCTTTGATCGCACTTCGGTGAAAAAATATTTCGCTGTCCACTCCTCTTTAAACACTCTGCAATTGTCAACTTTTCTTTTCTTTGGTCCACTCATTGTTAAATGCAGGTTCAAATGTGAATTAGGTTCAAAGGTGAATTATTGCGTCATCGTTTGCGTCACGACGTAACCGTTTACATGCCTTCGAAGTTCTTAAGACCCAAACTGCGTTTTACGTCGCTGATTTTCTCCGCAACACCGCTCACAACATCAATAGAGGACTGCGTCGGGTAGTTTTTAATCATACAAAGCCAGATTAAATTAAATAACTACTTCTCCAGCCGTATACCTTTCTCCAGAGTGCCATGGTGCATTGTTTATTAATGTGTTTCAGTGGCATTACCGCCCACTGGAGCGCGGCTCGTCCACCGGAGATTATTCTCCCGTTAATTCACAGCAGCGGCCGCTGGAAAGTATTCACTGTCCGACTGTCACACAAGCAGCTGAGAAATATTCCCCATCCCCATCAGTGAATGTGTGTCAGTCTGAATTGATGCTGTTTGGCATCACAACGCTGTTTCTCTGGCATTCTACAGGTGATGTTAGCATAGCAACCGAAGCTAATCAGACTATATTGACTACTTGTTGATATCATATTGTGGCATAAATTGGCACATTTTACCGGCGTAGTTTTCGTTATGATTTTACTTGTGATGGCCACAGGTAGCCCATGTATTGATTCCATCCGATAGCTGCAATAATACAAAACAGGAAAACATCTGCCTCTTCACAATTGTCAATAACGGTGAACGGATGGTCATTAAAGTAAGGTAAAATAAACAGAATCACACTAAGCTGGTTAGTGTTGCCTGACTTTATATAAGTGTTTTTTATAAGTGTGTGGTCGCGTTTTAGTCGCTTTGCTCAGCGCTACTACTTGTTACAACTTGTATTCGCTGTTCTCGCCATGATTGCTCAGGTTAATCTCAATTTCCTCCATTGTAAGGGTGACGTATGCGGTTCTTAGATCCTGCCGGGTTGCCGAGTGGTCAATTGCGCCATCTAGTGGAATAAACTGAAATTACGGGGTTGCAGGAAAAAGGCAAAATTAATGCGGTCATTACTATAATTTGGACAATTTTGTACCAATATTCGGCGGGCCGGATTAAAAAGTCCAACGGGCCGTATGTGGCCCGCGGGCCTTAGTTTGCCCATGCGTGGTCTATGGCCTTGGGTATTGCTGCTATCTCTCTTAAGGAGGGGCAGCTTGGGCAACTCTCGGTTAGAGATAGTTATTGTTGTGGGACACCTGGAACACTTCCTTCTCGGGGTGTAGATGACCCCGAGCTATAAGCGACAACAAATGTGATTCAGTTTCCTCAGCTGTTTCGTCGTATTGAAGAATGTTGATTATTACACTGTGAACTAGTTCAAACCTGGAGCTACAGGAGGGCTCTTCAGAATTGATTGTGGCATCTCTACCGTGTGGTCAGACTGTGGCCCGTGACCGAAGCTCCAAACAAACCGTCAGTGTTTGCCATCAAAGCTCCAGCTCTCCATCGTGTCTCTCTGAGTCCTGTTTTCAATTGCTTCAGAAGTTTCCCCCACAAATACAAACAATAATAACACTAATAATCATAATAATAATAACAATAGTTACTAGTGATCATTCCCAAGCTGGTAAATAAACATGGAACTCTTTCAGATGCTTTTATTTAGTTTGTTAAGTTTTACACAAAAATGAACAAGTTTTAAACAGTAAAAAACAACGGATATAGAAAATATAGAAAAAGGTGTTAAAGTATTTTTTTGTGTTTCAAGGTAAAAATCAACACAAACAAAAATCCACTTCTTGTCGGCCACACTTTAAAACGTTCATGTTTTTAATGCATTATGACTTTAGTAGTAATGTTTTTAATTCATTATGACTTTAGTAGTAATGTTATTCCCATGCTGTCACTTTATGTTGAATGCTAATGTTAGTAAAGTTAGAGTAAAGTCACAATATTTCAGAGTAAAGTAAGATATTACATCTAAGTCTTTGTTCCTGTTGGATCTGTGAAGATGTTTTATTCTGCAGGTTTGGGACGGAGTGATGCCTCCGTCAGTGAGCTCTATATATTACATTGCATTTAGCTGACGCTTTTATCCAAAGCGACTTACAATAAGTACATTCGACCAGGAAGACACAACCTTGAAGAAAACAGAATCATATAAGTACATCAGGTTTCATAGAGCCAAACATTTCAAGTGCTACTCAACTGGCTTTAGATAAGCCAGCCCTTTATTAGTATAAAAGTGCTTCGTTAATAGTTCTAACGCTATATATGGAGCTCTGTGAAGAAGATGCAGAGCTGCCGGGGCTTCTGGGAGCTGGAGTCTTCAGGGTCAGGGAGCTGGAGTCTTTAGGGTCTGGAGCTGGAGTCTTTAGGGTCCTCGAGCTGGAGTCTTTAGGGTCTGGGAGCTGGAGTCTTTAGGGTCTGGAAACTGGAGTCTTTAGGGTCTGGAGCTGGAATATTTAGGGTCTGGGAGCTGGAGTCTTTAGGGTCTGGGAGCTGGAGTCTTTAGGGTATGGGACCTGGAGTCTTTAGGGTCTGGGACCTGAAGTCTTTAGGGTCAGGGAGCTGGAGTCTTTAGGGTCTGGGAGCTGGAGTCTTTAGGGTCTTGGAGCTGGAGTCTTTAGGGTCTGGGAGGTGGAGTCTTTAGGGTCTGGAGCTGGAGTCTTTGGGGTCTGGGAGTTGGAGTCTTTAGGGGTCTGCGAGCTGGAGTCTTTAGGGTCTGGGAGCTGAAGTCTTTATGGTCTGGGAGCTGGAGTCTTTAGGGTCCTGGAGCTGGAGTCTTTGGGGTCTGGGAGTTGGAGTCTTTAGGGGTCTGCGAGCTGGAGTCTTTAGGGTCTGGGAGCTGAAGTCTTTATGGTCTGGGAGCTGGAGTCGTTAGGGTCTGGGAGCTGGAAACTTTAAGGTCTGGGAGCTGGAGTCTTTAGGGTCTTGGAGCTGGAGTCTTTAGGGTCTGGGAGCTGGAGTCTTTAGGGTCCTGGAGCTGGAGTCTTTGGGGTCTGGGAGTTGGAGTCTTTAGGGGTCTGCGAGCTGGAGTCTTTAGGGTCTGGGAGCTGAAGTCTTTATGGTCTGGGAGCTGGAGTCGTTAGGGTCTGGGAGCTGGAAACTTTAAGGTCTGGGAGCTGGAGTCTTTAGGGTCTGGGAGCTGGAGTCTTTAGGGTCTGGGAGCTGGAGTCTTTAGGGTCTGCGAGCTGGATTATTTTGGGTCTGGGAGCTGGATTCTTTAGGGTCTGGGAGCTGGAGTCTTTAGGGTCTGGGAGCTGGAGTCTTTAGGGTCTGGAGGTGGAGTCTTTAGGGTCTGGGAGCTGGAGTCTTTAGGGTCTGGAGCTGGAGTCTTTAGGGTCTGGAGCTGGAGTCTTTAGGGTCTGGGAGCTGGAGTCTTTAGGGTCTGCGAGCTGGAGTCTTTAGTGTCTGGGAGCTGGAGTCTTTAGGGTCTGGGAGCTGGAGTCTTTAGGGTCTGGGGCTGGAGTCTTTAGGGTCTGGGAGCTGGAGTCTTTAGGGTCTGCGAGCTGGATTATTTTGGGTCTGGGAGCTGGATTCTTTAGGGTCTCGGAGCTGGAGTCTTTAGGGTCTGGGAGCTGGAGTCTTTAGGGTCTGGGAGCTGGAGTCTTTAGGGTCTGGAGGTGGAGTCTTTAGGGTCTGGGAGGTGGAGTCTTTAGGGTCTGGGAGCTGGAGTCTTTAGGGTCTGGAGCTGGAGTCTTTAGGGTCTGGGAGCTGGAGTCTTTAGTGTCTGGGAGCTGGAGTCTTCAGTGTCTGGGAGCTGGAGTCTTTAGGGTCTGGGAGCTGGAGTCTTTAGGGTTTGGGAGCTGGAGTCTTCAGGGTCCTGGAGCTGGAGTCTTCAGGGTCCTGGAGCTGGAGTCTTCAGGGTTTTGCGGCGGCGTGTTTCCTGAACGCTCTCTGTATCACAGCCGCCGCCACCTCTTCCTGTTTCCTCTGCAGGGTGCTGCTGATTGGTCCACAGGACACCTGTGATTTAAATTAAAGTAGCTTTGATGATATAGATAAAAATAATACTAATAATAAACAGTATTAGTAAAAATGCAGATAACTATAGAATGAATAATACAAATAAATGTGATTAATTATATAATGGAATACATTCTGAACAATAAAAAAGATTTCAAACCTTCGAGGGAAACTTTTCCTCCAGTCGGGCTCGGAGAGAGCATTTGGACTCAGTGCACACCTGAACACAGGGAGAAAGTAATAACATGTACCGTATCGACCCGAATATAAGACAGGTCTTTTTTCCTAGAAACAAATCTGAAGAAGAGGGTCGTCTTATATTCGGGGTCTAGACTTTTCGAAGTAATTTCAAAGTCACAACACCAGATGGCGCCAAACGAGTGTTCCCCCAGCGAGACACCGTCTTAAAGTAACAGAACAACAGGAGAGAAAGAGATGGAGAGACACAGACACCACCTCCAACAAAGTAGATCAAAAGTAAGCGAGTTAATAATCAAGAGAGGCCAAGTTATGATGCCAATTTTAAGATACTGGTGATCAACGAAGTCATCAAACAACTGTCGAGCAGCAAATAAATATGGTGTTACTGAGTGTAATGTTAAAAATGCCATGAAAATGTAAACAGTCAGAGAAAAGCATTAATTCAGGTATTTTCAGAAAATGAATCTTGAAAAAGAGGGGTCGTCTTAAATTCGGGTCAATACGGTAATATGAATAAATAACAATGTGCAACTCGATTTTGACAGGAAAGCAATTGGAGACTTCTAGAATTGTGTGAGTAACATTCTGTCCTTAGACTTCTCTGTTTCAGTGTGTGTACTCTGTATCAATGCTCTGTAGTTGATCTGACTGAAATTGTGATTTTAAATCTCAAAACCGCTACAGTATCTGTCAGGCAGAAACTTGGGACAAGTCATTTGACTGAAACCTTAAAACTGAACTAACTGACTGCTAGGGTTAACTTTGATTTAAACATTTGTAGAATACTAAGAGCTTTATTGAGTAGGTGTAACTGTATTAAGGGTTAAAACTCATAACTTTATAACTTAGGGTTTATTGTAATTGTAAAACCATTGGGCCACTGAAAAGACACAATAGCAACTCAGGAGGAAGCCAGTCTAGATTTCCTTTTGAGGGCCACCAGCTGCAGAGAGTTAACTAATTAAAGGGACGTTGCCCCACAGCTGTGAGAACTCAGCAATCAGGTGTCCATTTTAGGTAGCACTTTCCTGGAGCGTCAGACAGGCTAAGACTGACAAAGACATTGGAGTCCTGCGGGAGTAAGACTGACAAAGACATTGGAATCCTGCGGGAGTCACGAGGGGGGAAAAGAGGAGGCTAATCCTACTTTGATTGAGCTAAGGTATCGCTGGTGTTTTATTTTATTTGGTTGTTTAGCCCCTCATGCTATAATCATGTGTATTTTCTCCATTCCTGTTTATGTGTCTTCTCGCAATTATCACTGGCCCCGTGTATCTCGTAATCGATATAACCGGCCGGCTCTCGTCTATCCCACATGCTCCACTGAGATCCAATATCTAGTTTCAGGCGGCCTGTGGAACTGCCAGTCAGCTGTTCCTAAGGCTGACTTCATCTCTGGCTACGCCTCCCTGCAGTCTCTGGATTTCTTTGCTCTCACTGAGACGTGGATTACTCCATTCAACACATCCACCCCAGCAGCTCTCTCCACAGCATATTCCTTCTCCCATACACCCAGACCCACTGGCAGAGGAGGTGGCACTGGTCTCCTGCTCTCTCCCAAATGGAGCTTTTCCCTCTTCAAGCTACCTAACTTCACTCCTTCCACCTTTGAATTCCATGCCGTCACAGTAACCCATCCTATACAATGAACCATTGTTGTTCTCTACCGTCCACCAGGCGCCTTGGGGGACTTCTTGGAGGAATTAGACCATCTCCTCTCACACATCCCTGAAACTGGTCCTCCCGCTGTACTTCTCGGAGACTTCAACCTCCAGACGGGGAAGATAGACGAACTAACATCTCTGTTAACCGCCTTTGCTTTCTCACTGTCTCCGTCCCCACCAACTCATAAAGCTGGCAATGTCCTTGATCTCATATTCTCAAGGAACTGCTCTACTTCTAACCTCTCTGTAAACCCGCTCCACACATCCGATCACTTCTTCATTTCATTCTCTCTACCCCTTTCCAAACATAACAAACTAATCTCTTCTCATCCTGCACCTGTCCGCCGTAACCTTCGTTCCTTCGTTCCCTCTCCCCCTCTACCTTTGCCTCATCGGTGCTCTCAGCCCTCCCTTCCTCTGATTCGTTCCATCTCCTGCCTCCAAACTCTGCTGCAGAAACTCTCCTCTCTACTCTCTCATCCTCTCTAGACTCTCTCTGTCCTCTCACATCTCGGCAGGCTCGTCAGTCCCCTCCTGCTCCCTGGCTAAATGATGCACTGCGTGCTAATAGAACCGTCCTTCGGGCAGCAGAGCGGAAATGGTGGAAATCCAAACACTGTGACGACCTCCTAACCTATCAGGCTCTCCTCTCCTCTTTCTCTGCTTCCATCTCTCAGGCAAAAAGCACTTTCTTTCAAGATAAGATTCAATCTTCCTATTCCAATCCCAAAAAACTATTTTCCATCTTCTCCTCCCTCCTGGATCCCCCCAAAGCCCCTTCCCCCTCCTGGACCCCCCCCCCAAAGCCCCTTCCCCCTCCACCCTTCTGTCAAGCGACTTTGTTAACCACTTTGAAAAAAAGGTTGATGATATTCGCTCTTCTTTTTCTGACTCACCTCTACTCACCGCTGGGTCACCAGACCCTCCTTCCACCAACACACTGACCTCCTTTTCCCCTCTCTCTCCAAGTGAGGTTCTTACCCTCATTACCTCTGCCCGCCCTACCACCTGTCCTCTGGACCCTATCCCTTCAAACCTCCTTCAGACTACCGCTCCTGATATTCTACCGTTTCTCACCCATTTCATCAACACTTCTCTAACTTCTGGTCACTTTCCAAACAGTCTCAAGGAGGCAAGAGTAAACCCTCTCCTAAAGAAACCCACTCTCAACCCGTCTGATGTTATAAACTACAGGCCTGTCTCTCTCCTCCCGTTCCTGTCTAAAACACTTGAACGCGCTGTCTTTAAACAACTCTCCTGCTATCTCCATCAGAACAACCTTCTGGATCCGCACCAGTCTGGTTTCAAGGCAGGTTACTCCACAGAAACTGCCCTCCTTGCTGTCACTGAGGAACTGCACACTGCTAAAGCAGCCTCCCTCTCCTCTGTAATCATCCTTTTGGACCTGTCTGCTGCATTCGACACGGTGAATCATCAGATCCTCCTTCGCACTCTCCAAAAACTTGGAGTTTTAGGCTCTGCACTCTCCCTCCTCACCTCATACCTGAAAGACCGCACCTACAGGGTTACTTGGAGAGGGTCCGAGTCCGACCCTTGTCAATTAACTACAGGGGTCCCTCAGGGCTCTGTTCTTGGTCCCCTCCTCTTCTCCTTGTACACAAACTCGCTCGGATCAGTCATTAGCCCGCATGGTTTTTCATACCACTGCTACGCTGACGACACCCAATTAATTCTGTCCTTCCCCCGCTCAGAGACCCAGGTCGTCACACGCATCTCTGCTTGTCTAGCTGACATCTCTCAGTGGATGTCTGATCATCACCTCAAGCTCAACCTTGACAAGACTGAGCTGCTCTTCCTCCCGGGAAAAGATTGTCCCACTCTTGACCTAACAATCAACATTGGCACCTCTGTTGTTTCCCCGACTCAGACTGCAAGGAATCTGGTTGTGACCCTAGATAACAACCTGTCCTTCACTGCAAACATCACTGCTACTACCCGCTGCTGCAGATACACGCTTTACAACATCAGGAGGATGCGTCCCCAGCTGACCCAGAAAGCGACGCAGGTTCTGGTCCAGGCTCTCGTCATCTCACGCCTAGACTACTGCAACTCCCTCCTGGCTGGTCTACCTGCATGTGCCATCCAACCTCTGCAGCTCATCCAGAATGCAGCTGCTCGCCTGGTCTTCAACCTTCCTAAATGTTCCCACTCCGCTCCTCCGCTCCCTTCACTGGCTTCCGGTAACTGCTAGAATCCACCTCAAGACAATGGTACTTGCTTACCATGCTGTGAATGGATCTGGCCCTTCCTACATCCAGGACATGGTTAAACCGTACACCCCAGCACGTGCACTCCGCTCTGCATCAACCAAACGGCTCGCTGCACCCTCGCTGCGAAGGGGACCCAAGTTCCCATCAGCAAAAACACGTGGGCTTGCTATCCTGGCTCCAAAATGGTGGAATGAGCTCCCCATTGACATCAGGACAGCAGATAGCTTACACACCTTCCGGCGCAGACTGAAAACTCATCTCTTTCGACTCCACTTCGAGCGATAGAACTATTAACAAAGCACTTATATACTAATAAAGGGCTGGCTTATCTAAAGCCAGTTGAGTAGCACTTTAAATGTTTTTGCTCTATCAAACCTGATGTACTTTATGATTCTGTTTTCTTCAAGGTTGTATTTTGTTGGTCGAACGCACTTATTGTAAGTCGCTTTGGATAAAAGCGTCAGCTAAATGCAATGTAATGTAATACTAATAATTAAAGCTGCGAGCAGCGATGAGGGCGTCTACGATGCTCTGTGCAGGTCCGCTGTTGTCCGCACGTCAACGTCACGCAGATGCTTCCCTCACAAACATGTGAAGTTGTGTGCCGTTTGGAGCATGTTCACATGAGTAATGACAACATCGTGTTTGATGGCCAGCATTATGTTGCCATGGCAACAGGATTTGACGAAATCTCAAAACTGATATGTAGCTGTCTTTAGGGCTGGACCGTTAGCACACATGTGAAGTTTGAACAGTTTTGACCATTTTCATAGGAGTTATAGCAATATCGTGTTTTAAGGCGAGGGGTGCGTTGCCATGGCAACAGCTTTTGAGGAAAACTCACTATTGTCATATTGAGGTGTTGAGGGTCGGACCATTAACCGTCATCTTAAGTCCAGGGCAAGTTGGACGATTTACTTTGAGCTATGACAACATCGTGTTTTATGGGGAGCATTGTGTTCCCATGGCAACGGCATATGATGACACACCATAATTGACATAGAGCTGTTCAAAGCCGGATCATTCACCATTATCTGAATTCTGGTGCCGTTTGGATGATTTTCCTTTGAGCTATGACAACATCGTGTTTTTTGGGAGGGATGCATTTCCATGGAAATGGCATAGGTGAGATCAGATTTGGCGTAGAGCTGTTGAGGCATGGACCAGTGATATACAAGTGAAGTTTGGGGGACGATCGGACTGTGTCATTGGAGTTACAGCGACAACGTGCCATGGTAACGCCACATTTCACGTAGAGCTGTTCAGGGCAGCAGTTTTAATGATAGTGTGATGTTTGTAGCGTTCTGAGCATGTCAGTTGGAGTTATGATCATCATATTCCATGGTGAGGGATCGTCTAGCATCGAGCGAACGTGAAAATAGGCGCCACATCAAGACAACACAGCGTGGTGAATTTGGAGTCGATCGGATAAAATCCCTGGTAGGATATCTCTCAAGTACGGATAAATCGCGTTTTTCAAAAGCAAAATTCAAAATGGCCGACTTCCTGTACGTTTTTTAATACACCTCCAAAAGGCTTCTTGGTTCGTCTCCGCACCCTAGATATAAGTAGTGATTTTCGTTACTTTACGTGAAAGTGGGGGGAGTTTATGTTAAAAATGGAAGTGGGCATGGTTTACGCTTTTTTTTTTACGCAAAGTTCTGGAAACCATTTCACACGTTAACTTTCACACCGAGTTTTCATATATGTTCAGGGGGTCAAATTTGCATTCAAAATGAATTCCCTGTTTTGTATGTGTTCGGCAGGATTGTCGCTCGCTTCGCTGACCTCTGGTCTCAGACCCTAATAACCGGTAGTGGTTGGTCTTTCTCCGGGGGGGGGGTCATAATAATAACAACAGTGTTACCAGCGAGGGCCAGCAGGACGTCCTGGCAGTGCATCTGGTCTCAGACCCTCATAAGAATAACAGTGTTACCAGTGAGGGCCAGCAGGACGTCCTGGCAGTGCATCTGGTCTCAGACCCTCATAAGAATAACAGTGTTACCTGCGAGGGCCAGCAGGACGTCCTGGCAGTGCATCTGGTCTCAGACCCTCATAATAATAAAAGTGTTACCTGTGCAGCGAGGGCCAGCAGGACGTCCTGGCAGAGCATCTGGTCTCCAGCCTGCAGAGGAAGGTCCATGCTCGTCAGTCGGAGGCTGTTTGGTTTGGGAATCCTGAGAGGATCCTGCAGAGCGTCGCAGAGATCTGACAGCTCGCTGCGGAGAGACAGGTGATATTAGTTTAGAGACACTTGATTGATTTGATTGATACTTCAAATCAAATAATATTTATTTAAAGTAAAATGCATTATATGTCACATTGCTCTCTACCAACATTCAAAGGCTTCATACGCACTGAAGAGAGGAATAAATAAAAAACGTCCCGAGCTCCTCCAACAACGCAAATTAATACATGTGTGATTGATTGATATATTATTATTATAAAGACTCACCTGTACTGTAAACTTAGACTCACCTGTACTGTAAACTTAGACTCACCTGTACTGTAAACTTAGACTCACCTGTACTGTACACTTAGATTCACCTATACTGTAAACTTAGACTCAACTGTACTGTAAACTTAGACTCACCTATACTGTAAACTTAGACTCACCTGTACTGTACACTTAGACTCACCTGTACTGTAAACTTAGACTCACCTGTACTGTAAACTTAGACTCACCTGTACGGTAAACTTAGACTCACCTGTACTGTAAACTTAGACTCACCTGTACTGTAAACTTAGACTCACCTGTACTGTAAACTTAGACTCACCTGTACTGTACACTTAGACTCACCTGTACTGTAAACTTAGACTCACCTGTACTGTTAGCTTAGACTCACCTGTACTGTTAGCTTAGACTCACCTGTACTGTAAACTTAGACTCACCTGTACTGTACACTTAGACTCACCTGTACTGTAAACTTAGACTCACCTGTACTGTAAACTTAGACTCACCTGTACTGTTAGCTTAGACTCACCTGTACTGTTAGCTTAGACTCACCTGTACTGTAAACTTAGACTCACCTGTACTGTAAACTTAGACTCACCTGTACTGTAAACTTAGACTCACCTGTACTGTAAGCTTAGACTCACCTGTACTGTAAACTTAGACTCACCTGTACTGTAAACTTAGACTCACCTGTACTGTAAACTTAGACTCACCTGTACTGTAAACTTAGACTCACCTGTACTGTTAGCTTAGACTCACCTGTACTGTAAACTTAGACTCACCTGTACTGTTAGCTTAGTCTCACCTGTACTGTTAGCTTAGACTCACCTGTACTGTACACTTAGACTCACCTGTACTGTACACTTAGACTCACCTGTACTGTAAACTTAGACTCACCTGTACTGTTAGCTTAGACTCACCTGTACTGTTAGCTTAGACTCACCTGTACTGTAAACTTAGACTCACCTGTACTTAATGAACTGCGAGCTCTCTGGGTCGAACTTCCTCCAGGTTTTGCAGAAGTTCAGGAGGTGTTGGTCGCTCAGCGTCTGGTTCTCCTCGGGGCCGAAGACCTCTAGGATGACGGCGATGTACATGTTGACCACCAGCAGGTAGCCCAGGTAGATGTTTACGATGAAGAAGACGATGGCGAGGGCTGGGGAGCCGCAGTCTCCTCGGATGAAGGATCCCGGGTTCAGGGTGTCGGGGTCACAGTCAGGTGAAGTCTTCATTAAGGGACCCAGCATACCCCCCCACGAAGCAGAAGAGGAGATCATCAACACACAGATCAGGCTGCTGCCAAACGTCTCAAAGTTAAACATGTCGTCCATCATCCCCTGCTTCCTCACGAAGGGGAAGCTCAACATGCCGAAGATGGATGACGTGAAGATGAGGAGGAGGAAAAGGAGGCCGAGGTTCAACAGGGCAGGAAGTGACATCATGAAGGACAAAAGCAGCTTCCTGATACTCGGATCCCAGCAGAGGACACGGAAAACACGAGTCACTCGCAGCATGAAGATAATCGAGGGAGAGAAGAAATACAATGTCCAAATGTCCGCAAAAAGACCTGAAGAGTGAGACACAGAGAGAGACATGGAATGAGACAGAGAGAGTGAGACACAGAGAGAGACATGGAGTGAGACAGAAATAGTGAGACATAGAGCGTGATACATGGAGTGAGACAGAGAGAGTGAGACACAGAGTGAGACACAGAGAGTGAGACACAGAAAGAGACATGGAGTGAGACAGAGAGAGTGAGACACAGAGTGAGACACAGAGAGTGAGACACAGTGAGAGACATGGAGTGAGACATGGAGTGAGACAGAGTGAGACTCACCTGGGATGGACATAATCAGCACCAGGAAGTCCAGCACGTTGAGGGCGTTGGTGAAATAGTATTTTCTGAGC